TTGAGAGATCTCTATTGGCACTGGGTGGCTTTTAACAGTAAAAATATATCGTAATTTCCCCACCTAATACATTATCTAGAATAACACTCCTGAAAATTACAGTAATATCCACCATTATAATAAACACCCCTTTTGTAGTCTGCCCATAATCACATAAACCCACTAAACCATATATCAAATATTAACATTACTCCCTAGGAAAACAATCTGAGCACAAGTAAAATCCGGTTTATATCCTGATTACCATCAACTTTCTATCAGAGCACCTATTTTTTACTACGAGATGTCACTCAACAGATAACTGTGGCACTACCCTTTATCATCAGAAAAGGTCTTGTGAGTCCTTAGTATCACTGGCAAATGAAACACTTTGCATTTATTTGATGCTGAGAGGGGAAACTATTGAGATCCTTTCAACACAGCAAAACGTAGGCCCCTATGAATAAAGCTGATGGTAAGAGTATGCTACAGACGACTTTAGGATGATATTGAAATAGAAGCCAAGAAAGGCTTAGAAAACCTACCACGTACCTCTATGCTCCAAAGAAATTAACAAAGGCAACCTGTTACGTAAGTCAGTATTTAGTCCACTTCTGATCTTAGCGTGTGGAGATAGCAGATACATCTGTTTTTTTTTTTTATTTACTAACCCTTGTCCAGTTTGAATGCTTCCTCCCTTTCTTCACCACCAATGCTCACTCCACTCACCTCTGAAGTTTCACCAATACACTAAGAAAGCTGTAGACACCAAAATGGAGACGTGTCTGTCTAATCTGACAAAGAATGAATGAAGTCACTGGGGTTCTGAAGTAAGGATTCTGTAGAAACAATTCAGCAGACAGCTCTGCTTAACTATGAACTGCCACCACCTTGTCATCGATTATTTTGGGCAAAGATTATTGTCTCTTAATTATGTTATTCTATCATGCTTATTTTGCTCTTAAAAATATCTACATCTCTCAACATCCTTGAATATGCCCACTGCTTACTGTGGCACATTCTGTTCCTAAAGAAGCTGAATTTTACTCGCCTTTGTCTTTTAAAAAGTTTTATAGGAAATAAAAAAAAAAGCCCAAATCCTTCATGGTCCTCCTTCATTATTATGTCCGCTCCCAATGTCCCACAATTTTAAAATTGGATTCATCCTTATTAATCTTATTTATGTTAGAATCAATGATCTCAAATTTGCTAAGAAATCAATTTTCATGTATTTGAATTTTGCCCAAAGCAAGTCCAAATTTTGGGAAATATTTTTTTAAAAACTTTATTTGGAGTTAAGTTGGAAGAAATAGATATTGGACATATTAGGTCTAGGGTGTATTAATGACTGGCCAGATAGAAATCTTCATTTAAAACTCTTCATCATATAATCAGAAACATAAGCAGGGCATGGTGGCACACACCTTTAATCCCTGCACTTGGGAGGCAGAGGAAGGCAAATTGTTTTTTAGTTTGAGGCCAACCTGGTATACAGAACAAGTACCAGGACAGTCAGTGGCTACACAGAGAAACCCTGTCTCAAAAGAAAACAAAATAAAAAACAAAAAAAAAAAAAAGAAAATAATTACTATAAGCAGAAATTACATGGCATTTATGAGGCTATATTAGATAAACATTCACAGACAGAACATACATGTCAAGTCAATCATAGATTTATTATGTTTCTTACTTTAGTATATAAAGCACAGATGGGATATACAGTCAGTAGAAGCCCTCTCAAAGAATAGACAGAGGAGAGGAAAGCATTCTGTTGGATGTTTTTACTCTTTTCCCTTTGGCCTTTGGATGTTTTGGCTTTTTGTTGGGGCGGGGGGGGGGAGGGCTGCCACTCAGCTCCCGAATAAATCACACACAGAGGCTTCTTATTTCTTACAAATACCAAGCCTTAGCTTGGCCTGTTTCTAGTCAGCTTTTCTTATCTTCAATTTACCCATCTACCTTTTGCCTCTGGGTTTTTTTTTTTTCCTCTGACTTCTGTAAATCTTACTTTCACTTTTACTCCTTGGCTGACTGTGTGTCAGGGTGGCTAGGTGGCTGGCCTTTAGTGTCTTCCTCTCCTTGTTCTCTTGCTCTTCTTCTTTTCCAGATTTCTTCTATCTATTCTCTCTGCCTGCCAGCCCTGCCTATCCTTCCTCCTGCCTTGCTATTGGCCATTCAGTACTTGACTTAGACCATTAGGTGTTTTAGACAAGCAAAGAATCATGTATTCACAGAGTTAGATAAAGGTAGCATAAACAAAAGCAACATATCTTGAAAAATATTCTTCACCAAAATAATTAGTATTTTCTGAACCAAAACAAAGTATGTCTTTATAGTGAGAATTTCATCCACAATACAGTCCATGACCTAAATCGCTCCCTGACTTCTAGAAGCTTATCTAGTGCTCTAACACTGTCCTCCATTTTCTTTGGATTGCCTCTATTTCAAACAACTGTAAGGCAAGCTAAACTTGTCTTTCCTGTGCTCAGCAGTCTGTTGGAGAGATTCCCTTCAACTTGTCTTGCAGTTCTCTCCTTTTCCCAGTTTCAGCTGCTCAGTTATTTTATTACCATCTAATTTATCCTGCCAAAATAAACAGTCATTTGATACCAAGACATTGGGAGACCAAATACCTGCAGATCTCAAGAGTATATAGCCACAGACAGGTGGTATAATTCTCTAGCATCTGTTTCCTAGCGTAAGGAACTGTTGAGTTGCTACAGTTACCTCATCCCTGTAAAACTCATGAAGCTGTTCGAGCGATCAATCAGAGGTTTCAGGGATTAAAAGAAATTTCCTTTCCGTAAATAAACATGCTCAAGTTGAGGTTAATTTCCATCTTAACCATTATATTTCTTCTAATAACAGTACTGACCCACATGGTGTATTAAATCTACAATGTGCAGTACTATACAGCACACTACCTGCCACGTTCACCTGCCTAGGAATCTTCCATTTCCCTGAAAATGATCACAATTTGATGCCTTTGATGTCAGAATTCATTTGATGGTCGTCAAGAACATGATTTACCATATGAAGTACACAGCCCCACTTTTTCTTTCAGAAAGAAAAGAAAGGAGGAAAGATAGGAGGTAGCAAGGGAGAGAGAGAAAGAGGAAAGAAGGTTATATTAAAGAATAGAGAAAAAAATATAAGAGCAAGGACCTTTCAGCACCTCCAGCTAACCATTTAAGTACATGGCCATTAATTTAACTGACCATTTTCTTCAGATTCAACAGATATTTCCCATCTTTATTTTTATTTACCACATTTATAAATTCAGTTCAGCAATGCCTGCTAATTTTACCGAAAAGATGTGTTAATACTTCAAAGCCAACTTCAAAAATACAAAGGTAGACCTAACTCCAATCTCAAAATGATCAGACCCTATCATTGTTAGAGCATTTCTGAAGACTGGATAATAGCTAGCTAGTTTAATATGCAATTCATAGTGTTTTTCTTACACATGTTGTTTTAAGGTGATCACACCTTTTACTTTCTGTGCTAAAATGATGAATGCCTCTTCTGAGCAGCTGAAATGGTGTCTTCTTCTTGTTCTTATTGTTTCCTTTTAAAAACATTATCATTAGGAATACCGATAAATTTACCAGCACATTCTTTTCGGATATTAAAATCTATATATTCCAAGATGTACTCCTGGAATCTTATATGAATATACATTTTGTAGGTTTTGCAGACCCTTGCATATAAAGTCAACTATTCATATTGAAAATTTTTTTTATTATTATCAAGGACATATTTGCTTTGCTTTTCCTATAGAGATCAAGTTAACTACCGGTTTCATACATTTTTCTACTCTTTGAATTTCAGCTTCCTCTTCTGCCAATAGAGTCTTGGGCTAGAGGGAACAACTCAGTGGCTAACGTGCTGGTTGTGAAAGCACGGAGACCTGAGTTCAGATCCCCAGCAGTCATTCTTGTGGAAAGTTGAGTAGCCCTGTGGCTCTGAGTCCTAGTGAACTTCACCTGTACCCTTGACACAGCCTAGAGTCACCTAAGGAGAGAGTCTCAGTTGAGGCGTTCTCAGACCGAACTGGTCCATGAGCATGTCTGTGGGGGACTGTCTTCATGGCTATTTGAAATAGGAAGGCAGCCGTCTGTCCACAGCATCACTCTCTGTGCTGTGGCTGTATAAAATAAGATAGCTAGCTGCGCAGGAACATGTGAGAGAAATAGCAAGCAGCGTCCTCTATGGCTTCTGCTTGAGTTCCTGCCCTGATTTCCCTTATTGATGCATGTGTGGGTCGAAAAAAAAAAACATGTCTTTCTCCAACAACGAAGTGTGGCTTTCCAAATGTGTGGAACACTTAGTGCTTTTCTTGCAAACTGTACAGCTACCACTAGTGTGAATTTGCAAGCAATGCTGAGGTCTACTCAGCCTGCTAAGCCTTCAGAAAGATAATGCCTTTCCCATCCTACAACTTCAGCAAGGTTGTAATCTCTGTGGAATTAAAAACCTTATATATTTTAGCCAAATTAACTTATTCTAGGGCAAATAAACTTACTTTTGGGTATTTACAATGTATAATGCTCACAGTTTTATTTTCCTGGTGTAATTGAGATGTAATTAAGTCAGGGAATGCTGGGGGGGAAAAGGGCAGACAAACAAAGACCTCCAAAGCCAGATTTCCTTCAGAACACTGGTAAGAAGATAGATTAGATGCACATTTTCTGAATTATCTGTCTAACTTGATACAAATTGTAAGGGTGCGATGTTCTCAGCTATAGGTCATTAGGTTACAGGGAGTAAAATGAGTCTGAAAGAACAACAGTGTTCAGGAAAAACACACGGAGTAAGTGCCTGAAAATGAATTCAATCTGAAGATGCCTATGTAGCTATGCAGGTACGCTCACACAGACAAAGGTTAAATGGCGCTAACCATGTGCACATACTGCCGATGGAAAAAGCAATGTACACTATTATAATAAACTCGTCACTGGCTAGTTTCTTTGCATAAAGGCTGAGAAGGAATGCAAAACAAAGAACTCTGAAGTACTTACAACTGATCGGAGATTATTTTCTTTCACCAGCTTCAAGGATGATTGATAGCAATTTGCAAGGTCTTCCTTGTGGGAACCATTAATGTGGCCTCTGGCTATTGGCCCTACGGTATGGATGACATCTGCAAATGCAAAAGAAATCACAGGATCAGTGAAGCACTGTTTACTTTTCACACGACTGGTGCTTTATTTATTTTAGATATTAATGTTGGGGCCTGGAGACAGCGAAGCTGAGAAATATTGATGACACAAATGCTCTATTGCAAAAGATTCCAGGGACCATACCCTCACAAAGCAGGCTACCTTCCCAAGAAGGTGACACCAGAAAAAAGCATTTCAGTACCATTGAACTGGTTCATGGGTTTTGGTCAGGTCCAAGGGTGACAGATCATTGTATAAGATGTACCCAATTGGCACCCTGGCAGAAGACAGATCCTTGGTGGGACATAAACCGAGAAATAATTGCCTGAAAAATGAGCATCTGAATTGACAGGGGAAGAGAGAGTCAATGCCAGACACAATTCTCCTTATAAATAAGACATTATATGATATAAGAGGACCTTGAAAATATCACCAAGAGGATTTTTATCACAATCATGATTCTAAAGCGAAAAGCTTCAAGCTATTACTAACAGTTCTAATTTGTTCAATCTCCACAAACATGAGCAATACCAGGAATAATAAATAATATGTACACGTGCTAGCTGATGCTTAATTCCTTATTTTTATCACTAAAACTCTCATAGAGTAATCTGTTCCTTTTAACCTCCATGTAGGTAAAAACAGAAAAGAAAAGTAGACAGTTCTTACTTTTGTATGTAAACCTCATGCATGCTGTTATTTTTTTTTTCATTTTACATACACAAGAATGCTTGTGAGATGTGCTGGGACTGAACCACAGCCTTGCTGTGCACATCAGGCACACATGCTACCGCTTGATTGACAGTTCCAGGTCCCACATTTTTAAGTCTTTCTTTAAATTCATAAGCATTACAAAATAAGATTATCCTCATTTCAAAGTAAAAAAAAAAGATTAGAAGGAATGAAAATTTGAGCCAAATTACTTAAAATACTTTGTACATTTGCTTCCTAGTTTTATATGTTAATTGAATAATTATGACATCTCACTGACATAAGTTACAAGAACTAATCAAGTTTGATCAAAGAGATAAATTTTGGCCTGTATTAGCAGACTATTATAATGAAATGAAACTATTTACTTTGGCTAATCCACACCACTTAGTTTTAACAAGGACAAGAATAAGAAAGCTTTGTAAAAACAGGAATATAGCACAGTTAAAATTGTATGTAAAATTTGAATTGAGACCCATAAACCACTATTGGGGGGAACTTCGCTGGTCTCCTGACAAACACAGAGACTATTATATGATATTTGAGAATGGCCCTCTGAGCAGGATTTCGACGATTAATTCTAAAACAATATTTAATCTCTTGCCAGACAGTATTAGAGATGATGTTGTATGATCAAAGTAGGCAGAAAATCTACTCCATCGCGCTCATGCTGATCTTTAACAGGTGGGTCTGGATCTCATTGCAGTGGGAATGACCCCAGCATAGAAATGGAAAAGAAAGTGGAAATGGGTTGCACACAATGAAACAAAGCATATAATGGTAACATTATTTAGCAATAAAACAACATAAACTACATATAGTCAGGAAATAGGAGCCTTGCCTCCTACGTAATAAACTCTCCGAGGACTACATTTTTATTTTTATGTTATTTTTTCAGTGGATGCTAGACTACAGGGGAGCAGGGCCCGCTTTATTTGATTGCATCTGGTTACTTGTTTGTACCCAGCTATAATGTTCCAAATCATCTAATGAATACAAACGTGGGATGGTGCAGAGGGCTGCTCATTTGTTCCCAGTCGCTCAGCCCTGAAATAATCAGACAGAAACTATATTATTTAAGTTACTGCTTGGCCCATTAGCTCTAGCTTCTTATTGGCTAACTCTTACATCTTAGTTTAACCCATCTCCATTGATCTGTGCATCACCACATGGTTGTGGCCTACCAGCAAAGTTTTAACGTGCCTGTCTCGGGCAGTGGGTCCATGCCTTCTCCCGACTCTGCCCTTCTTTCTCCCAGCATTCAGTTTAGTTTTCCCCGACTAGCTAGGTTCTGCCCTGCTATAGGTCCGAAGCAGTTTCTTTATTTATTGCTGATATTTACAGCCTACAGAGGGAAATCTCACAACAGTAGGAAAGTTGGATATAAACACACTGAATCATATAAGGAAGTATCCCAGCAGGTATAATCATATATGAACTAAAATTCAGACTCTATGGGGTAAAATTGAGACATACCAGCTACTTTATTATAAGGCATCTTTGGGCATTTAGCGTCCCCTAATGACTTGCGGCTTTACTGGAGGGAGCTACAGAATGGCATTGTTCAAATCCATTTGATGGCTGGAACTTATATTATGCATGGTACTCATAGAAGACCAAGGTACACAAACTAGGGTTTTGGGAAGGTTGTAGGGTCACTATGGCACCCTCATTCTTACTGAACAAGTTGAGATCTGGTTTCTCCACCACCCCTTACTTAATGGGACAATGGGAAATGGTCATGTTCTTCCTGTCTTGCAAATAGAGATGATGAAGAAGTGCCTCTTATATGAAACTATAAAAGATGGGTCTACTTGTTTAGGGAAGAAAGGGTCTTAGAGGCATTAGTGGGAAGACCCGTGGTAGGGTGGAGTCTACAATAACTGGTAGTGGTTACAAAATGAAATCCCTGCCTGTACTTTCTTTTAGCCATCATTGTATACATAACTTAAGTGGAATTTTTGAAAAATGATTCCATGTGTTTTCACAGCTCTCCATTTCATTTAAAAGTCAGAGGACAAACGGCCTATAAATGAGCTTCCCCAATATCAAAATATTGATTCCTGTGCTTTATGCTCTATATTAAATTTATAACATCCAAGATCAAGTGTTTTTATTGACCAACACAATGACCTCTCAGATTTACAAAGCTGGAGGTGAATCGATATGAGAGTTCAAGGGAAATTCCTTTCATTATCTTAATTGTTCATTTTATTTATTTGTAACTACTCTACATTGAGTTCTGTTTTTCCTGTTATGCATTCCATACAGGTGCACAGCTTTTAGCTTCAGACTTATCATTGAGTGATCAAGTACCCATGCTAAGTCCTCATTTTTATGAGTTCCTGACTAGGTTTTCTTATATGTAAAACAAATCAGCTGTTTCTTTGATGTCATTTCTACATTGTTGCACAGTATCACTAGTATTTAACATTATAAGGGAGGCAGACTTGATACATGGACATCAAAAAAGTCAACAAAAACCAAAAACAAAACAACAACAAAACTACTTGAACATGGTTAGGAGGCCCAAAGGGCTTTTTTTTTTTTTTTTGGTTTTGGTTTTGGTTTTTAGAGACAGGGTTTCTCTGTAGCTTTGGGGCCTGTCCTGGAACTTACTCTGTAGACCAAGCTGGCCTCAAACTCAAAGATATGCACCTTCCTCTGCCTCTTGTGTGCTGGGATTAAAGGCATGTCCTACCACCGCCCAAACAGAAACAAACAGCTCCTGTAACTTCAAGGATCCTTTATATCAATTTATATTTTTAAAACTGAATAGCATCTTCACAATGTGTAGACACATATGCATGAAAAATTCATGGGCAATGCTTTACCTTAAGCCTGGATTCTGAATCCTTTGGGACAGATAATAAAATGAGAACTTCTAAATTCAATGCCTCATGACTGGCAAGACGCACAAAATGATGAACACCACTGTTCATGAAGGCAGCCACACTATCTAAGGGACCTTCAGCACACAAATAGGAGTGTGAGAAGAACATTGGGCTGTATATCCTGAGATCAGACAGCCATGTAGAAGACCCAAGTCTGTCACCATGAGCTGTGTGAACTTGGACAAGATTGTCCCTTTTTGGGGTTTCAGTCTTCAAAGATAAAGATGGACTGTGTCAGCCACATCTTTCTTGTTGCTGTGACAAATATCTGAGAGAAATGGCTTTCCTCTTCTTTTTAAGAGGAAAGAGTTGTCTTGGCTGATGGTCTCAGAGGCTTTGTTCAATGGAGTGCTTGCTCTGCGGTCCTATGCCAAAGCAGAAGCAGAGAATCATCGCACATGTGTGTTAGAGTATGTGGTGGAAAAGAGAGCTTATCATGTTGCATCTATAAAGATGAAGGGAGAAAGGGCTGGGACAAATATATAATTCAAGGACAAAAATATTTTTGTTGTATTTTATACTTATTTTACTCTTTCTAATATTTAAAAATTTTTGTGTATGGATGTTCTGTCTACTTGTATGCTTTCACCACATAGGTGTCTGATACCCATGGAGGTTAGAGAAGGCACCAGATAACTGGGGACTGTTTTTAGTGGGAATTGAACCCTGATCCTGTGGAAGTGCCACCAGTACTTGTCTGTGTACAATATTCAACTTATGTAAGTTAGGAAGTTCCTACTAGAAAATTAAAATATTAAAATAGCACATGACTTATTAAGTCACATTCCCTGATCCTGTTTATCCTGCCTGTATAACACTTGCTAGTTCACATTTCAAAGATAAGCTTCTTTTTATTATAAATATGAAAATGTTGAGTTAAGAGAAGAAAAAAGGCACAATAAATTTAAAACCGAGAATCTATCAGGTATATCTTGGTTTTATTTTGTTGTCATCAATTATTTATCTTTATGAGGAAATTACTTTAAAGTACATACGAGTGATAGGTGGCACATAAAAGTGCAAGTTTCTGCTTAATATTTAAGGAAATGGAAATACTAATTATCTTCATTCCACTATGAAGCTCACTTTCTTGAGTTGTTTATATATTTTGGAGATCAGTCCTTTGTCTGGTGTGGGGTTGGTGAAAATCTTCTCCCATTCTGTAGGTTGCCTTTGTGTCTTATTAATTGTGTCCTTTGCTTTACAGTAGCTTCTAATTTTCAGGAGGTCCCATTTATTCATTGTTGCTCTTATTGTCTATGCTACTAGGATTATACTTAGGAAGTTGTCTCCTGTGCCCATGCATTGAAAGCTACTTCCCACTTTCTCCTCTATCAGGTTTAGTGTGGTCAGATTTATATTAAGTTCTTTAATAC